CGCTGGCCCGGAGCGCCCAACCCGGAGCGGAAGGAGCCCGGGTGCCGATCCTGAGGGGCCATCCGCGCCGGCCTCCAGCCCTTCTCCGGGCGGTTCCCGCTCTTCCCGCGGGGCTCCTGCGCCTCCCCAAATGCGGGCCTCTCACCACCTTCCCCGGGGTGCCCGCTCTCCTCACCGCGACTGTGAACACGAGGGAAGGGACACAGAGGCCACCGAGGGTCACGTAGGCTCACGCAGAGATCTGTGGGGGAGCTGCTGGCTGCAGAATGTAGGGAATTGGGCAAAAGTGGGTGCGTTCTCACCTGCGTGAGTCAGGTTCTTGGCCAGAACCAAATTAATTTTAAACTGCTTTCCAAGTGACCGCCCTGCCCGGCTTTAATCAGAGGGGCTCCTCCTCCAGGCGCTGGCACCTGCTGTGCCCCAGGCACCCTAGCCTTATGGGTGGCTGGAGACACCCCTGGCTGGGGCCCAGAACTGACAATTGCACACACCTAGGGCAGATGGCAACCAGATATTCCGCCCTGGCCCGAGGATCTGAAGGAGTCACTCACCCCGGGAAGCGCCCACTGAATCACCTGTCTTTATCTGCCTGCCTCAGATTCAGCCCTTGTAAAATGTTTAGCCATGGTTTGCTGACAGCAAACCCACCAACTTGCCTCGAAAATCTGTTCTTCCAGCCACTTCGGCTTGAAATAGAGGCATCCCCCCCATGCTTCATCTCTCTTGCACCTCAAAATTCAAACGAACCACACTTCTGACAACCATTATCTCTCACCGCCATTCTAAGCCTGGCCTATTGCAGCAGCTTTCTCAATCTCCTTCTTTCACATGGCTCAAAAATTAGTTCCTAAAGCCTGACTTTGACCGTGACAGTTTGTGCACAAACTTGGGCCAGCACACAGCCATTGCTCCAGTGGCCTTGGTGTATGGGTAAAATGCAAATTCCTAGGCCTGCTGTCCCTGTGACACTGCTAGTAACCAGGGGTTGTTGCTGACTTGAATCCTGATGCTCCCCAACACCAATGCCTCCCAAATTCTCCCACAGTGCTAGTGGGAAATCCCAACAAAGGATTGCTATATAGCCTTCTTGTAACACCAGCCTGTTTCCTTGTCTGTGTACAGCACAGCTGTAGGAGTCCTCTCGAGGGTCAGCTACTTGGTCTGTGACACCTGAGTCCCTCACAGCTGGAAGGGAAGGCAGGTGCCTTCTTTGCTCCCTGGGGCTCCTTCTAAAATATTTCTCCTGCTGCAAAACCTGCAGCACCCGCTAAATTGACAGCACTCAGGATGATGCCCTTTGCCATTCCAGGGTTTGCCGTTTTCCCAGGACACCACCCCTGGATCCCTGAAGACACAGCGCAGAGTGCGGAGCTGGTGTCCTGGCTCCTGGTTCCTGCCACCACCCCAGTCTCCATGGTTCCAGTCACCCCCCCCCAGTCTCCATGGTTCCAGTCACCAGCATCTGGAGACCCTGGAGCTACAGGGAGACCCTGACGCCCTTCTCATCACAATAGCTACTGTCTCCAAAGTCTGAAGCAGGGGTGCTTTGGTTTGGATCTTGAATGTCTGCCCAAGGGCCCTCATGTCAGATGCTTGGTCCCCAGGGGAGCTCTGTTGAGAGGGGGTGTAGCCTGTAAGAGGTGGGGCCACAAGGTCATACCCTTGAAATGGATTGCCAGCCCCCAGGCCCCACCTCTCTGAGGTGGTGGGGAGTGATTTCACACCACCACATGCTCATGCCACGAGGTGCTGCTTTTCCATAGGCCTCAAAGCCACAAGGCCAACTGATTGTGTACCACACCTCCAGAACTGTGGGCCAAAATGAACCTTTTCTCTTCATAAATTGAGTGTCTCAGGCATTTCATTACAGTGACAATGGCTGTCTACCACACAAGGACCCTCACTCTGTCAGCGCTCCTAAACTTACAGTTACAGTAGACCCTCGAGCTACAGCCGGCCTGACAAATGAACAAGTTGGGTTAGGACTAATTTAATTAGGGCTAAATTTTAGTTTTAACTTATGAACAAAGTCTTGAGCTATGACCTGAGTGTTGGCCACTTGTGCTTCCAGATTGTCTCAGACACAGATTTAACCCTTAAAGAGCTCTGGAAGGAACATGACAACATCCTTTCCTGTGTGGAGTTAATGAGAAATCCTGGGCCAACGTCTGTCTAAGGTCACTGAGATCTGCCTGTGTACAGGAGAGAGACTTTGAAGGCTGTGTAGAGGAGGCTGAGCCTTCAGCTGACCAACTTGAGTTACAACCAGCCCTCAGGAATGAATGGAGTATGTAAGTCAAGGGTCCACTGTACCCTACTGTGGAAGCCCACTCCTGTGGAAGGGTCCTTCGCCTCACCGGACATCTGAGCTCCTGAGCGCTCCACGCCACCCACTGCCTCACCATTTGCCAGCCTGCCATGCCTTCTCTGGCGCTTGACCAACCAGGCCCCAGGGTTTCTCTTGCTCCCTTCCTGGCCCGCCAAGCTCTCCCCAGAAACCCTGGCTAGCTCCAGCTCTGCCTTCTCTGTGCCTCTCACCATGCAGCTAAACTCCTCTGGAGAAATACCGCAAGATCACGTGGGAGGGACTACCGCCAGAGATGACGCCTTGAATCCGTATCTGCCTGCTCTGAAACCCACACTCCACTCTGGGTAGCTTGACGTCCCCTTTTCTGGGTGCTTCTCTGTCCCCAGTCCCCTGCGCTGCTGTCCCTTCCCTTCAGCCACCATCCCTCTCAGTTAACAACTGTACTTCATGCTTAGAAAAGTCAAGCCCAAAGCACAAATCCTCTCATCTTTCCACAGCCAAATCTCCCCTCTATGGGTGCTTTCTCCTGTTCCCTCTGCTTATGAAAGAGGAAGGAAGCATCTGCTGCCCCAGAAAGGCTGGTCCTGCAGAGCCATATTGTGCCTCCCACACACCCAGGTGCTGCTTCCTAGAGCTTCTGATTGTCACTTTGCAGGGCAAGAGCCTTTGCAGCTGGGACTTAATGAAGGATCTTGGGATGTGGAGATTACCTGGTTATCTGAGTGGATAAACGTGATCACAAGCGTCCCTGTAGAAGAGAGGCAGGGACATCTGACTTCAGAGGAGGAGATGACGAGACAAAAGCAGAGAGGTTTGGAGACGCTCAGGACTAGCTCGGAAGGTGGGGGACACACTGGGAGCTGGGTTGCCCTTGTGGAGTCTGGGGAAGACGAGGAAAGGGATTCTCTCCTAGGACTTTCGGAAGGACCTTTGGTGCTGTGGACAACTTGAAACTGGTTTTGGACTCTCACCTCCAGGATTGTAGTAGAATGAAAACATGCTGTCTGAGCCACCAGTTAGCGATGTTACAGCATGGACCGGAAGTGAATCCACCACCCCAGCTCACCTGCCCAGACACTTTGCTCCTCCAGCTGGCCCTTCTGTCGTGTGAATCATCTACTTCTCTCCTACTAGGCCATTTCCAACAGTGTACAAACATACTTCAGTATCTCCCTGCTTCCGTGACTGCCCCAGTTACTACTCCAGTTCACTAGTTTTCTTCCATAGTAATTATCTGCATTACACTTCCCATTCATTCTGAAGCCCTCGCCACCCTGGCTCCCAGACCCCTGTGCACCAAGTCTGCTCTTCCCACAGCCCCCCATGCCCGCGTTTGCCAGTGAGATGAACACTGTGCTCTCTTTGCCCTACTGGGCCGAGCGCAGTGTTGTACTCTCAAGGTTGGCTTTTCGTGACTCTGCTGCCCTTTCAGCGCCTCTGTTCTGCCCACTCCCACCTGCTCCTTGATATAAACTCTCAGTGCTTGGGTCTCCGACTCACCTTCCTGTGTCTGTACCCCTAGGTGATAGTCACAGCCACCACTACTTTCAACACCGCCTATCTGCCGATGAGCCACAGTTTATATTCCCACCTGAGGCCTCTCAGCGGTTGCTATCTGCCTGATTACCTCCTCTTGTTTGTCCTACAGGCAGAGCTGGAACCAAACGAGGGATTCCCCAGGACAATCCGCTTATCCTCCAGGTTCTCTGCCATGGTTTCTTGCTGTTGTTCAAGCCAGAAACCTGGGTTTCAGACTGGTCTGCCCTTCTTCCTGGGTGTGTTACCTTCCCCCACCCCACCCCCCGCCGTGCCCAGTCCCTACCTGTAGCTGTGAGATGCTTCTCTGATGGATTCCACCTTTCCCTGTGACTGCATCACTTCTCATCCTGGCCCCTGCAGTAGGCACTTGACAGTTACACTGGACCCTCGGATTCCTCTAATCCATTCCTCACACAACAACTGCAATCCACCTTCTTCCAAGGCTTCCTTTTCATGCACAAGAAAATCCCAGTGCTTTGCCTTGCCTTCAAGGGCCTTGGGGTAAGATGCTGACACACTCCCACCGCACTCCTCTGCCCACCAAGCAGCAGCCTCTCCTCCAGCCCTTTGCCCCTGCTCTGCCCTGTGCTGGCCCTGGCCCAGGCCTACTGCACTGCACCCCTCTCTGCAGTGGCCTCCCTCCACCCACTGAGCTCCCCCACCCCACACGGTCAAGTTTCTGCATGGCTGCTTCATAACCTGATGCCATCTTGTTGCAGACCTGTGTGGATGGTGAACTGGTCCCCTCCCTCCAGGAAGCTCCGTGAAAGGCAGATGGCATCTGTCCAGCTTTCCACTCTTTCCCTAGAGCCCAGCTGCCTGGCTCATAGTAGGTGTTCAGCAGTGCCGGATGAAGGCGCCACCTTTGTGACAACAGCTCTTGCCAGGCTGTCCTTACACACACACACCCCACTGCCTTCCCCAGGCTGCCCCACATCACACCTCAGGGCTGTCTTCCTGCAGACTCAGCTCTTGTGGGAGACTGACACTTCTCTTCATACCTAGCAGCTCCAATGGCCTGCAGTACACCCACCTTTAAGCAGCCTGGCTTCCAGCTCAAAAAAGCCCCCACTGGGAGAAACTACATTTTTATAGCAACAAAGGAAATCCAACTTGCTCTGTGATGTCTGGTACACAGTAGGCAGTCAGTGCATGCCTGTTGGATGAATGTATGAAGGAGGGAACAAAAAGTTTCATGTGTCTACCCTCAGGGGACGGCTTCATTCAAAATTCCAGTCTTGTCCCAAGCAAATAAGGCAGTAGGGTGGGAGTCACTACTGCCGCTGCTAGCAGAGAAGGCGGTTGCTGGACCACCTTTTGATTGCACTGGCTTCAGACAGCAGCCCGGAGGGGCAGCAAAGACTCCAGTTTGTAAGTGGTCTTTGTCCCAGCTGCAGAAAAGTGTGTGGGGAAGTTCGACGAGGTGATGAGGGGCCAGCGGGGGAAGGCCAGAAGGTGGGGTGGGGACAGGTGCAGAGCCCCCAACCCAGCTCGATGAGAACAGAAGCAGGAGGAATCACTACTGACCGGGAGACCCTGCCCCTTTCATTTTCCACATCCTGAGAGTAACATGGTCCCCTCACGTGTTGTCTTTGGGGAGAGGACCCTGCAGGAAATCCAGAAATTGAAATGGCACTGTTGGGACCACTGTAACAGGTGCATCCAGATTATTTGGTTAAAAATGCCACTTTTAGCAGGTGCTGAAAGTGAACACATCCTGTTCTAATTTCATCAGAACATTCTGGAAGATGCATCTAAGAAAAAAAGAAACTTTCTTGATGAGCCTTTGTGAGTATTCAGATGTGACTGCTGAGAAGTGGGTAAAGGTAGTGGATTATTGTCATCAGAACAAATTTAAGCAAGACCAAAGCAAATTTCCCAGCCTGGGAAGTAGAACTATTTTCAGCATTTAAAATTTCTTAATGGACATGTGATATCTACTCAATATCCACAGAAGCTGTTGGACAACACAGCCTACTAAATAATTAATAAACATACAAAGCATATAGCATGGTAATAGATTCAAGTGGTTGGGAAATAGAAGCTCTCAAAATCCAGGTGGGATCTAGGCAGGCAGGGGCTGGGGATGGTTGGTGGGCGGTGAGTCCATGTTGCTCTTTGGAGTCCACAGGAAGCTGCTGTAACTCTCCAGGAGCTCACTGAGTCCATGCATAACCTTCTTGCCCCTATACCCGCGCCCCCAGCTCTGTCTGCTGGATGCTACTCCAGGAGCTCTTCTGTCTGTCTGCTGTGGGGCACAGGGCCCATTCATCAGCACTTGTATTTGAGATGAGAGGAGGCTTCCTCCCCAAGATGAAGGACACTTACCGAGCATCTCCACCCTTCTCTTGGCTGTCCTGGCCAGCATGGATGGGCTTGGCCATGGGTGCCTAGGGCCAGCTCCTAGTGGTCACCTGAAACCCAGCACTACTCCAAATTCAGGATCTGGAAAACGACGAACAACCCAGTAGTTGCTCACCCCCGGCTGCCAGATAAGATTGCTTGAGTGCTAAAAACAATATGGTTGTCCTGACCTGACTCCAGGGCTGTGAAGCACTGGGATTAAATGGTGCGGAGCCAGGATCTTTGCCCTCAGAGGTCCTGTAGAAGCTATAATGACTCTAGAACGTAAACCTACAGCATACCACCAAAGAACACTGGTGCTCATTAGAGTTACCAGGTAAATACCTTGAAAGAAGAGCTCTCACTCAAACAGAGACAGAACATCTGAGAACAAATCTCCAAATTACAATACAGCATTGCTAGGGTGGAGCCCCCACTGCTACTTCTTCTGGGTGCAAAATCTGTCCCACTTCTGGTGCAGGACACCAGGAACAACCCCCAGGGCCTCCACGCTGCCATCACCGTGGCAAGGAGGTAGTGTGCATGGCTCCTGCTTCGTCACAAAACTCGCTTCCAGTGCAGGCCTCCCGGCCCTGTGGCTGCATGGTGTGTGCTTTACCAGGGGAGCTTAAGTGGGAAATGCCGCGGACAGGGAAGGTGTGCGGAGAAGCCACTCAGCCTGCAAGCATGTCAAAGGTTTGCACACTGAGCCCCGAGAAATACAGTACTTAGGAATTGCCCAATGGGGGTAGGAATGAGGGAAGAAAAAGATACAAGTTTATTTACTAAACAACGCCTCAGAGTTTCATTTGTGAATGCATCCTCTGAATCCCCAAAGTAGCCTATGCGGTGTTTTCCAAATGTATTTGACCACAGGTTCCTTTTGGTTTACGGTGTCTCTTGCATTGTTAATGCTCTGAAGGACATCCGTGACATGCAATATGAATTTTGGGCTGTATTTCCATAAAAGGACAGATGTCTGATCTCCTCTGTTATTACATCTGCACCATCTTCATTCTGCATATTCAGTTACATGGGAATTCACTCAACAAATATTTATTGGGTTTACTTTGTGTCAGGCACTGATCTCGTCCTGGGGATTCAGGAACGACTGACAGCAATCCTGGCTCTAATGGGGAAGTGGCATAAGACGAAGAAGGTAAACGCTTTGTTGGTTGGTAGTAAATGCTAAGAAAACACAACACTGGACTCGGTGGCTGTGCCAGTGCTGCCAGCATTCTGCAAGGCTGAGGAAGTGGGAGCATGTCTGAGCCCAGCCTGGGTCAGTAGTGAGACCCTGTTTCAAAACAAGAAATGAAAATGGGTGGAGAATGGAGCTCAGTGTGGAGGCCCTGGGCTCAATTCTCAGCGCCACGAAGAACAGCAAACCACCCAGCAGCGCAAGGCAGGGAAGAGGTGAAATATCAGGCTTCCAGGGGATGCGTGCTGCAGCGAGGCCGTGCAGGTGGCCTGTTAGGGAGCTTTCCTAGTCATCTCGGCACCAGGTTCAGGGGACTCACGCAGGTGGAAGCGGTGGGGGACCAGAAGCAATGGATTCGGCGTCTGTTTTGATGCAGAAGCCAATGGGATCTGCTGATGGAGCAGATGTGGGCTGAGAGTTGGGAGACAGTGAGGACTGGAGGGCGATTTGAGGGCTGTTCACCAGAGCAATGGGGAGGACTAGGCCGCCATTTACAGAGGTGGGAGAGAGCTGTGGAGGCCACGCTTGCTCAATTTGAGCACAGTAAATTGGAGCTGCGTGCAGATGCATGGGATTGGCACTGGGTATTGGAATCTGGGGGAGAGACGTCAGCGCATGTAAATCTGAGACTCGCATGCAGGTAGCATTTAATATTTAAAGCCCTGAGATAGGATGGGACTACTGTGCAGCACAGAGAAGAGGCTCAGGAGATGAGACTCAAGATATCTGTTTCTAAAACCAGCAAATGAGGAGAAAGGCAGAAAAGAGGTTGGCAAGGAAGGACCAGCAAGGTACAGTAGGAGGAAAATCAGATAACTGTTTTCCTTAAGGCCAGGAGTAGAAACACAGTAGACACTCGACTTAGAAACTCAACTGGTTCCCAGGGAATGGTTGTAACACAAGTTGTTTGTAAGTCAATACAGCTAAGATCTGGATGTTTACCTGGGTACATGCTATGGATAATGAGGCAGATGACTCTTCCATGAGCCTAATTAACCCAAGCTGTTGGTATGTCAGGCTGGTCGTAACTTGAAAGCCCACCATGTCGCAAAGAAGAAGCAACAAGCAGCTGTTTCAAATCTGCTGCTAGACCTGGCTTTCCACTGAACAACCCCAGTTCACACCTGCTGACTTGGGGTTTTGTGGAATAAAATTTGTGGGAGGTGGTGGGTTTGGACACTTGTGTGACTCCCTACTGACCAAATCAACAGAGTTTAACTTAGTGACTAAGTGTTGGTTGGTTGCTGGAGGCCCTGAAGCCAATTCACTAATATAGCTGTGAATACTAAACTATTTAAATCATAGCCAGTTGACTGACTAAACTATAGCCAATTAAGTTGTTTTCTATGCCCCACTTCTGTTATTTTTTAAATGCTGTCAAATGACATTGTGGACTGGAGTTCTCAGAACTTGCTCTTGTTCTAAAAGCTGATTTATGAATCATTTTTGCTTTGCATTGCTCACATAACTATATTTATTTGGTCTAAAGAAGGTATTACTGTACTATTTATCTTAGTGTCAATCATTCTACATATGATGTCCAACATTCAATTAAAAATTACAATACACACACACACACACACACCAGACCCCCCAAAAAAATAAGGTCAAGAGACAAAGCAATCAACATAACCAGCTCCAGTTATCTAGGTTGTTTCTGAGTCTATCAGACAAAGAATTTAACAATAATTTATATGTTAGATGCCCAGAAAAAAGTATATAGTGTGCATAAGTAAAAAATCTCAGTACAGATGACAACTGTAAAAAAAGTCAAATAGAAATACCAAGGAAAAGAAAAATCATTGTGACTTAGATGAAGAATCCCTTCAGCAGGCTATTTAGTAGACGAGAGAATTGAGAAAAGAATGAACAAACTTAAAAGTATTTACAGAAATTAGGCAAACCAAAACATAAAAGGAGTAAAAATAAATAGCATAACATTAAAGGGTCATGGGATAATATCAAGTGACCCAACAATAGATAATTAGAATTCTCTCAGAAGGAGAGATAACTATGCATAAGAAATATTTGAAAAGAATCTTTCAGAATCAATAATATATCAAGCCACAGATACAAGAAGCTCAGAGAATGCCAACCTGAAAATAATATAAACTAACAACAAATAGACTTATCATATTCAATGGTAGGCTTAAAAATTGTGTGCATAATATAATCCTAGTTGTGAAACCTAAACTAATTTTTTGTTTTTGGGAAAGGTGATCTTCAGAATTTGTAATGATTGCATATAATAGGAGGACGTTTTTATCTTCTGTGTACTATTTTTACATTGAAAATGAGCATAAAGCTATTTTATTGGCAAATAGCTGCCTTTTTAGAGTGGGGTACTTTATTTCACTTATATTTATTTTTACAAAGAATGTGTTTTCATGTAATGTTTCCTCTCAAATATTTTCTTATAAGGAAATTATAATTTGGTTATTATATACCTTTAAAAGCTTCAAAGCATAAATATTCTAAGAACAAAACATGCCAAATTAAGAAATGTTATCATACACCCCTATTTTATTTCCTATCACTTAGCCCTCCTCCTCTATTTATTTCAGATTTTGGGTAACATTTGTGATTTAGTGCATTGGTTTCAGTGGTGGCAAACCTAATGCACGTGTGCCACAGAAGGCTATTTGCTATCACTGAAAGCTCCAGAAGGTTCGCCGACCCTGGTTTATATTATTGCAGGGCAGGTTTGCTGTGTTCCAGTTTCCTAACCCCGTTGGGTCTGATGAGACAGAACATACTGTGCAACAAGTGACACTAAGCAGACACGGTCTTTACAGATGGGCAGCGAGGCACAGAAGAAGCCTCAGATCCGTGGTGAGCCAGTCCCCAAGTCTGTTGGTCTGTGACGTCCTGACTGTGCTCGCTTCCCTTGCAGCACAGCTGAGCACACAAGCCAGAGCTGTCTGGGTTGTTCTCCTCAGGGAAAAGGTGACTCACTGGGCCAGCCTTGAAGGACACTCCCTTTCCAGGGGAGAGAGAACAAAGCCTGACCTGACTGTCCCAGAGAGTCCCTCCCTAACTCAAGAAGTGTCATTCCCTGGGAGGGACAGGAACAAGCCTCAACCCATTTGGGCACTGCTTCCCTATCTCAGGGCTACTCCTAACACCTTCTACAGTTATTCTTTTTGTTTGTTTTGGTTCTTTGAGACAGGGTCTCATTATGGAGTCCAGGCTGGCCTTGAATTTCATGGTGATCCTCTTGCCTCAGCCTCCTGAGTGCTGGCATGACAGGCATGCACTACCATATTTCAAGATTTTTTTTTTGTATAATTGTTATACTTTATGGCAATGTTGATTCTGCTCTTTCTGCTACTAATGCATTTTGAAAATGTAATGTTTTCTGCTCAGTTCTAAAACATTCCTTCAATACCTCCTTTATTTCCCTTTATGGTTCTACTTACTTTTCAACTTAATGCTCTGTTATTTTACAGTTCATCTTACTTTAAAGTGACCCTATTTCTTGAATGTTGAGAGTAAAAAGCAGATAATGTCTGAAATTGTTTTTTGCCAAGATATTTTTCAAAAATATATTCTTTCTCGGACTCTCACCTTGGATTTTATGATCATTTACACATTGGGGAACTTTCTGTCCTGCACCGCAGCAGCACACTTCTTCACCAGTTACAGTCATCTGGACCTCTGCCTATTGCATGGACTGCATAACAGGGGAGCCTACCAGTCTGCACACTTGTCTCGCTACACAGGACACTCCCCAGGTCTCTCAGTCCATGCAGACTGTTATCACAAAATGCCATACACTGCTGGCTTATAAATATCAGAAATACATTACTCACAGCTGAGAAGTCCAAGATCAAAGAACCAGGGGATTCTTGTCTGGTGGGGATGCACTTCCTGATTCACAGATGGCGCCTTCTCACTATGTGCTCATATGGTAGCCAGGGTGAGGCAGCTCTCCAGGGCCCCTTTCAAAAGGGTACTAATCCCATTCAGGAGGACTCCACCCTAATGACCTGATTACCTCCCAAAGCCCCCTGCCTCCTAATACAGCACTCTGGGAATTAGGTTTCAACATACGTATTTGTGGGACATGAACATTCAGCCCTGTGACATTTCCCACCAGTTCATGTTGCATCTCACCCTTTTCTCCAGAACTCAGCCCTCCCAGTCCAGATTCCACAGAGGCTAGAGCTTCACTGGTTTATTTCCCAGGAGGCAGCATCCTAACTTTGAGAAGCAGTTTAATTGTGCCGTTTGGATAATTTATTTCCTGAGCTTGCTATATAAGTGGATGCTTTTCTTAATTTTGTGTTTCTAGGTTATTTATTTAGCATCAGTGGAGAATGAATGCTTTGTCATAAACTGCAACACAGAACATCTTTTTCAAGCAAGCATATAGTCATCTCAGGTATATAGTGATTACAGAAGCACTCCAACCCCCCACCTGCATTGCTTTTAAACAGTTTGGCCCTTCCAAATAGCACATTCTGAACTTGAGAGATTGGATCTTTCCATCTCTTATTGTACTGTAGATTAAATGAATTGTAAATTAGACACTGTCTGCACAATGAAAGGGAATCTAGTAGTGAATGTGTTTGCTTTGGAAGTTCAAGCAAAAGTTAATACCCTCACTTTCCAGTGAAAAGACTCTTCAGCCCCTATTGTATTTTATTTTGTAAATGGCTGATTTAGAGATGTACCACTTATACCAATCCAGAGTAAATTAGCATCCATCTCTGAAAAATAAAACTAGTGCTCTACATTCAAATGTCAAAGGAAGCATGTTTATTTCTCCTAACTTACATTTAATACACCTATTTCATTCAGTG